TGAGAGAGAGAGAACACACAAGCAGGGGGCGAGGCAGAGGGAGAGGGAGAAGTAGTCTACCCCCTGAGCCAGCCAAGAATCCCATGTGGGGCTCGATCCCAAGACCTGGAAATCATGACCTGAGCTGAAAGCAGATGCCTAACCATCTGAGCCACCCAGACGCCCCTATAATTGTTTACCCTTCCCCCCATCCCCTGCTGCCCAATACAGATGTCAAGAGAGTGCCCAGTGCATGGAAGGGACCAGGGACCTGGGTCCCAACTCTGTCCCCCATTCACTGTGGCATCACAGGTGAGCTGTTGATTCTCTCTGAGCCTCAGTTTCTTCCTGTGTAAACACAAGGAGCCCCTCCCTCTCCCGAGGAGGGAGTGCTGGAATTGCTATCAAGTGCTTCTTGGGGCCTGGCACTCAGGAAGGGCCGGATGTTAGCTATCAGTAAGATCTAGAACACAAGAAGAAGGGTCCAGGCCCCTTTATCCCACATTGCGGGGAGTCCTTAGAGGACAATTCTGGGGTGAGGGTCTCCTGTGCTCCCCGGGCTCCTCTGTCAGAGTACTGACTACCTGTGGGCCTCTCCCCAGGCCCAGGGGACAGCGGAGACTGGGCTCGGTTCCACTGGGCCTCCCAGGCCCTGGACCTAGGACACCGGGCTGGGTTCCTGTGGGTCCAAGTCTGGAATTGGTCTCCAGGTGGGATGCAGTGGGGAAGGCGGTCGGTGGGGCTGTCGGTCACGACTCACATCCATGACACCCAGCGAAGCCGGAGGGAAAACCCAAGTTGGGTTCCAAATGATATTTTCAGAAAGAACCCATTGAGAAACTCAGAGAAGTCCTATTAATGTGGAAAGCGGGGAACAAGGCTCTCCAGGGGAGCGGCAGGACACGTCCCTTTATTAACAGCAACACTGCCACCACCATATCAGTAATAACTCTACGCCAGCCCCACAACTAATGTCTTCTGTGTTATCTCCTTTAATCCTTCAAGCAACTGTGTCAAGTGATTGTTATTCCCTTTTATGGAAGAGGAAACAGGCTCAGAGACGTTGTCTCTTGTCCAAAGCAACTCAGAGGTGGAGCCAGAATGCAAACCCTTGCTCCAAGACCACAGCGAAGCTTCCTCGGGATGCCAGAGCTGAGTAACTGGCCCAGAAGATGGGGAGGTCGGTGGGCACGCACCATCCTTCCTCTCATTTCCCACACTTGTTCTCTCCTGATGGAGGCCCCGCTGGTCGGGAGCAGCAGGCTCGGGCACGTGGCGCTGAAGGAAGACACACAGCCCACCTCCAGGGCCTGCACTCCCGGGCCAATGCCCCCTCCCAGGCAGATCTGCCAGCTGTGACTTCCCCTCCCCTTCTAGATGACTCTGGCAGCTGTCCTTAGGGAGGCCATGGCCCCGAGGGCAGCCCGCAGCCTGGCTGGGTCCCTAAAGCTAGGGGAGGTACCTCGGTTCCCCTCAGTGACCAGGGACTCTGGTGGTGGTTCCCCGTAGTGCCCGCAAACCAGTGCTGGACACCCTCCTCTAGCCCGCCTGTTTCTAATTCATAACCACTCGAAGCCTGCAGCAGCCCTTTGGGGCTTTCGGCACCAAGCAGGGACCAAATCTGTTTTTCTCTTTCCTGGGGTTAGTCCCCAGTAGCCGGGAGAAATCACAGCCCCTTCCAGGCCAGGCTCCTCCCCCTCCCCACCATGTTGCTCCAGGTGCCGCACATGGGGCAGCCTGGTGCTGAAGCTAGAGGGCCACGGACTGGGCTGGAGCACACTCCATCACTTCCTGCTATGGACCTTGGCCAAGTGACCTGACCTCTGTCAGGCTCAGGGACCTCATCCGGGAAAGAGGGAAAGGGGACAAGGAGAACTCTTCCTTCTAGGGTTGGCATGCAGGTAAGGGGGCTGACCCAGCAGTGGACGCTTAGCCCCGGCCCTGGGCCCTGGGCCCCAAACGGGCTGAAGAAATGAGAGACAGAGCCACGTCTGTGGAACAGCCCACTGAGCACCCTGTTCAAGGCAGAATTCTCATTTTTTTCTGACTCACAGCACCCTGTTCTTTTTCTTCAAAAGCACTCAGCCCAGTTTGTAATTATACACGTGTTTGTTTACTTGTCCGTGAGAGCCTGGACTGTCTGTTTCCCAGCGCTCAATCCCGAGCGCCAAGGGCAGGAACACAGTAAATGTGGTGTGAATGAATGGTACTCCTTCCCCGGGGCTTCTTGAGGCAGAAGACAACTAGGGATTTTTGCTTTTTCCCCCCAGAAGATTGGACTTTCAGAGCCCCACATATTCAGCCTTCCTTCAGAGATGATCCCGTGGTGGTACAGCTGGGAGGGCTGGCTGGTACTCCTCTCTGCAGCCACCGAACAGTGGGGTCGGAAGAGCTGGGCGGAGCCCACCATAGGGTCTGACACTGACCTTGTTGGCCATGCTCCTTGATGGGTGACAGGGTCGTTCTGGGACTGCTTCTGCCCTGTCACCCCTATCTGCAGCTGCTTGGTCTGGGACCCCAAAGCCACACTGGAGCCTCTGCCAGAGCCCCTTGTCGGCTGTGTCCCCTGAGGCTGGGCCTGAATTTCAGGAGCAGCCTCTCTGCCTTTTTTCTCCAGTCCCATCTCCTAGGTCTCTCCTGCCTTCTGCCCTCAACTGAGACCAGGGCCCTCCTGGCCTTGGCAGATGTGTGAGGGGGAGGAACTTTGAGTCCAGATGTAGCTGTGTGTTTATGTTTCCAGAGAGTGAGGGGTCGGAGCTCTGGACTAGAGCCCTTGGGGGAGGAGGGGTGGTCTGGCTCCAGCCCCCTGCCCCAGCCTTCCCTCCTCCCACCTCCCTCCTCTGGCCTGTGTATCTGGCCCTGTCCTCAGAGCCCCACACTGTTAAGTCCTATAGCATCAGGCTGAGCCATCCTCCAGGAAGGACCCTTCCTCACTCCTCATCTAAAAGTGGGAAGATCAGTGGAAAGATGCTTTGGAATATAAAGATTGTTGACTCCCTGTGACCTTGGCCCAGTTGCAGAGCATGGTGAAGTCATGGTTCCATCCCCTGTATAATAGGGACAACACTCCTGCCCTCAGAGGCAGTGCTGACCTGGTTTCAGAATGTGTGCACAGGGCTCTCCAGCTAGTAGCTGGTGATTAGGCCTGTGGCTGGGCCCCCCTCCCATCTGGGGCTTGCCGGGGGTCCAGCTCCAGGGCAGCGCCAATCCCAGTCACAAGGTGAGTCTAAAGCAGAATACCAGCCCCTCCTCCCTCCCCCACTCCAGCTGCAAACATTCTCTTTTGCCATTGGAAGTGAAGGGACTTAAAGGAGGCAGAATTTTACAGGCACTTTACAGGCTGGTCTTGTTCAGTAGTTTCCAAAGCCTGGGGAGGGTGGAAGCGGCATCAGCCTCCTTCCCATGCTTTGGGGTGGAAGGGAAATGAGACGTTAGTTCCCTGCGATGGACACTTTCTCCAGCACAGCCTTGCCAGATGCCCCTGCGTGGGATTTCCGCGGGGGCGGGGGGAGCTGAGGGAGGCCCTGGCTGATCAGGCATCCTCAGTTCCCCTAGAACAGCTAGGGCAGGGCTTCAAGATAGGAGTACGGGGGCCACAGGAGAAAAGGCAACTCCAGGACTAAAGGAGCTCTCAGCGGCCTTCACCCTGACTCTCCGGATGGACAGGGGCCACAGAGCGCCCTGAGGGCTTGGGGATCCCCGCCGACCCAGCTTGGAAAGAGCCTGCAGAGTCGGGCAGGCGGGGAAATGGGGTGCTGGCTAGGGCTGCCAAGCACAGAGCACAGCGCTAAGGCTGTGCGGTCCAGCCGGGGAGCACCTGGTGGGCGCGGAGAGGGACTTCGGAGCTCCGGATGGAGCCCTCATGGGGTGGGGCAGAGCAGGTCAGGAATCGTGGTGGGAAGAGAGCACCTCCCACTCCACTAGGAGGCGGCCACTTGGCTCCTCTCTCCTTACCCACAGGGCCCACGGTGGCGCCGTTCCCTTTCTACCCGCCTCCCTTCTCAGTGGAATGAAGCAGTCCGGGCCGGCAGTGGTTAGCACGCTTGTACTATGGTTTTAATAGACGTACATGGACAAGTCGATATAGACAGATTTATAATTCTATACAGTCAGTCCGACATACACAGGGACGCTGTAAACAGGGGCGCGGGCCGGAGAGCGGGTGTGCAAAGTGGGCGCGGCGCGCGGGGGGGGGCCCTGGCCGCGCCCCGAGCTCTCCCGGCTCGACTCTTGCACGGCAGGCGGTGAGGAGGGGGACTCTTCGCCGGGCCAAGGTGACCACTTCCTAGCCTAGGAGCGGAGTGGAGGGTCCGGGCCTGTGGCGAAGCTGGGTGGGGGTGGGGGGCGCCGGAGAAGAGCCTGCCCCATTCTCCCGCCGCGTCCGCACCGCCAGCTGGGGCTCCGTAGCCTTAAAATAGGAATCCGGTACTCGCGGCTGCGAGGGCACGCGGGGCACGCCGGCGCCGCGTGCAGCTCCACAGCGAGTCTCCGAACCCAGGCTGGGCACCGTCATCCCCGACCGAACGCCCGCTCCAACTCGGATCCGAATCGAGCTAAGGTACGCTCGGCCGGGCCCAGCTTGGAGGGGGCGCCTCGGTTCCTACCCGGCCCGGGCCGGCCTGCGCGGGCTCCGCGCGTCCAGTTCGCAGGCGCGGCGGGAACGCGGGCTCCCAGGGCGCCCTCTCCGGACCGCCGGCCTCCCGCCCCGCGTCCCCTCCGCGCAACGGTCCGGTCCGCCCCGCCCGAGGGAGCGAACACACACCACCCGCGCCACCCCGAGGGAAATTGCAACTCATCCGTTTTTTTCGCAGCACTTCTCTCCGACGTCTTTTTGTTTTGTTTCGTTTCGTTTGGGAGGGCACAGTGGGGTCCAGAAAAGCAAACACACAACCAGCCCGGAGGTGGGGAGGTGGGGAGGAGAGGGCTGCGCGGGCGCAGGGGGCGCGGCGTGGCGAGGTCCTCCGCGCCGCCCCCGGCCCGGCGCCGCGCCTGCCGCGGGCCGGCGGGGCCTGGTGGGGCGGTCAGCTGTTGTACTGGCACGCGTTGAGGCCCGAGGCCGGGCCCTGCAGGCCGCCGTAGCCGAACGACGAGTGCTGCTTGGACTTGAGCCGCAGGCTGGCCAGGCTCGAGTTGCACGTGTCCCGGTAGACGCTGTAGGGCGAGGCGGGCGTGCCGTAAGGGCAGGCGCCCGGCGACATGGCCGAGTTAAGCGAAGAGCCGGTGAGGTTGTTGATGTTGTTGAGGCCCGAGTTGGGCATGCCGGGCACGGCGCCGGGGCCCATGCTCGACGGCATGGTCATAGAGGAGATGGAGCTGGGTGCCGAGAACATGGACTGTGACGACAGCGGGCTCATGGAGTTGAAGAAGGTGAAGCTCTTGGTGGAGAGCGGCGCTGGCGCCAGGCTCTTGGCGGCCCAGTTGTTGTAGGAATAGCCAGCGGCGTACACGTCCTCGTAGGGCTGCACCAGGCCGCTGAACTGCGGCACGTAGCCGCCCTTGCACAGGTCCAGCTGCTGGTTACGCTCGCGCTTCCGCCACTTGGCTCGCCGGTTCTTGAACCAGACCTGGGGGAGGGGGCAGGAGAACCGTCAGGGCTGACGAGGGCGGGAAGGCCCCTCCACCTCCACCTCCTCCACCCCATCCCTCCGCTGCCTCCTCCTCTCCGAATAGCGTCTCTTTTCTTCGTTATTTCCGCCCCTGCGGCCGCGCTCCTTAATGGTTCCTTTCCTGTCCCCAGAAAACATTTCGTCTTTTCCCCATTTCTGATCTACATCTACTCCCCTAAGTTAAATCTGATGGCTTCTCCTAGTACGGATCTATCCTCTTTTTTTTTTTTTTTTTTTTTTTTTTTTTTAGCAAATATTCGTTTGCTTTTTCCTCTCTCAACAGTCCATCTCCAGCCTTCTCCCCAAAAGGGGTCCCGGTCTATCTCCTAAATATTCCGTTCTTTTTCTTCGCCCTCTAATGTAAAAGGTATTTTTCTTCCCTGAAATGTAGGGTCTTCCGACTCCCTTTATTCTACTTTTTTTCATTCCTCAAATAGTCTGTATTCATATTTATTGGGAACATTTGATATTCTCATTTCTGCCCTAAATGTTTATTTTCTTTTGGTCCGCCCTGCTATCTGAACTGCTTTCTTTTCCCTCAGTCCACTTTCTCCGTTATCCTTCACTTTTGATCCTTTTGATTCTTCCCCAAATAGTTTTCCCCGTCTTTCCAAATATCTGACCGTTACTGTTTCTCTTAAATAGTTGATTCTTTATTTTTCTCAAACATCTGATCCTTTTTGCCCTCCCTTAAATATTTAATTTCTTCCCTGCGACCTAAATATATGCCAAATATGTTTCTCTGCAAATATTTAATTTCCTTTCACTTCTTAACTAGTTTCTCTCTAATCTCCCCTCCACTTTCTTCCACAAAATTTAATAAGAACTTGTTCTTTACCAACTCCTGGTCCTTGCCCATCCTCTCCTATCCTCCTATGCATGCCTCTGAAGCCCTCCTCCAGCCCTGGGCTGAGTTTCCTGAGCGAGCCTGCCGGACCCCTGCATCTCAGCCTTTTCTAGTCCCGGGCACTGACATTGCCTGATTCCACCCCACACCACCCGAATCACCATAAACCTGGGCAGGATTAGTGAGTTCAGGATTACTGAGTGCTGTCTTCACTCGTGTCCCACTGGGCTGGCCAGCCTGATGGGAGGGGCGAGAGCTTGCGTTCTAGCAGGGAGTCAGTAGACCAGGTAGCACTTTGGGCTCGCTTGGGACGTCCTCCCAGTATCTGATTAAATATTTGCGTACTCAGAAAAGAAATGATTCTCTTGCTGCTCTGGCAACATAACCTCTTCGCTCTTGATTTCACTGGGAAGGAAAAGGCGAGGAGAGGGAGGGTGCAGTCTGGTCACAGGTCAGAGATCTTACATCTCCAAAGGGACTCGGCCTGAGGGTCACTCTTCCACCAGAGCTGCTCCTCCTTCACCTGAACCCAGCCCTACAGGAAAGGGCCACAGGGAAAGGGTCCAGCTCTCTACTGGCTGACTGGCTGGAGAGGAGTCAGGCGGGGACTGTGCTGAGGTTCTGGAGAAGCAGCCTGTGTGGTTGGGATCACTGCCCCAGGAGTTTCTGAGCCTCCAAGCCTAGGTACTGTTTAGGCCTCTGCCAGGTGGCTAGGCAAGACGTGCCTTTCCCTTTCGTTTTCGGGAGAAGGTGCCAGCAGCTCCGAGGTCCCCATCAGTGGGAATCCTCTGTGCAGTCTAGGGCAGTCATATCCGAGTGGGCTCTGGGCCCTACAGCACAGGGGAAATCCCCTCTGGGGCCACAGATCTTACGGTGAAGTTGTAGCAGAGCCCCAGGGTCAGGTAGGCTGCCAGGCGGTGAGGGCACTAACCACCAAAGGGCTTAGCAGCAGCCGGGAGACCAGGGCCTACAGTGGAATCTTCTCCCACGGAGGGAAGGAGCAGGTCTGAGTGGTGGGACAGAGACAAAATCTGAGCGCGGGTCTAAAGCTTTCCGAGGACGGCGGCAGAGGTGGCCAGCAGCCCTCCACTCGGGTCGCCTTAGGCGCGCACGCTGAGCTCACCCGCACGCGCGGCTCGGTGAGGTTGGTCCACACCGCGATCTCCTCCCGCATGCTCATGTCGGGGTAGCGGTTCCTCTGGAACGTGGCCTCCAGCTCTTGCAACTGCTGGCTTGTGAAGTGCGTGCGTTGCCGCCGCTGCTTCTTCTTCTTGGCCGGGTCCTCTGCGCCGCCGCAGCCCGGGCCTCCTGCGCCGTTGTCCTCCGGCCCTTTGACTTCCCCACTGCGCTCCTTCTCTGAATCGGACAGGACAGGCCCCAGTCACCTTGGGCTTCTGCCCTTTTGCACCCATCCCGGCTCCACCGAAGCGCCTGCCACGAGCGCTGGCATGCCCTTCCTCCCGCCAGGAGCCCTAGAATTGTCCCCACTGGAAAGAGCCTGCTGGGGGCCAGATCGTCAGTAGTCACCTTTGGTCAGATGCGCCCCAAGAGCCCAGGAACCGGAGGCACAGGCCGAGGTTCCTGGCTAGGCAGAGCCGGCTCTTGCCGCTCCGCTGGGGCTTGAGCCCGTCTGGCTTTGTCACCCGCATATGTATGAAATTTTGAGGGCTCTTTGGGGTGTCAATCTGGAGGGGCTCTGCTTTTCTGAGCCAGGACCAAATCTTTCCAGCCTGAAGCTAGTGGGTTGGTGGAGCTGGAGCGAGGCCATGGCCTGCAGCCCCTCCACCTTCTTCTCCCCAGGGCTGTGTGGGAGCCACATGGGCAGGCACAACACAGCTGTGTTCCCAGCCTTTGCTCCAGGCCTCAACTCCAGAGGCCCAGAAAATCCCTCAGGCGGCAGCCCAGACCAACAGACTGTCTAGGTGACCTGGGGCTCTAGCCTCTCACTCTTTACAGCTACGCAAAACATGTTCAGTCACAGACACATGGAAATAAAAAGACAAAATTTAAAAACAAAACATAGAAGCCCAGATAAACTCAATTCTATCCTAAAACCATGGAAAGGCTCACAAAATCTTAAAAATAGGTAGGAACACAGGAAACGCAAATTAAGAAGCCTGAAATCTCCGTGCAAACACACCCCTAACTAAATACAGTGCTGTAGGTGTAAAAACTCCAAGCAGACACAGGCATTTATTTCTCTGGGATTTAAAAAAAACCAATGTACTGTTGTAGATAGATTTTTTAACCCCTTCCTAATAATGCCCTTTCTAGAGATAATTTTTAAGTCCCAGGGAAATACAACACTATAGAGTTAGATAATTTAAGTTATCAAAATAACACCAATGCAAATAGATTTTGAAAAAAAAAAAAAAATCCCGGAGAAACGCGCCATTTTGGATTGACTTTTAAAACATCTCCCCAAGAATAATGTTGCATGTAGAGATTTTAAAATTCCAGAGAAATATGCCTAGTGTAGTAATTCTTTCTACACCGAAAATTACAGTTAAAAAATTAAATATATTCACGTAGATTTGGTTTTAAAAAGCAGTCTACCGCTGTATATTCCTCTGGGTTTTAACAAATAAAAACCAACCAAAGGCCACGCTAAAAACTCTTGAAAACAAAAGTACAGTTCCGCGTTGATTGTTTCTTAGCCAAGCAAACAGAACTTCTCAGAGAAAGTCACTTAGGGATGCAAAACAGAAACAAATAGAGATTAAAAACGCGTAGAGATACACTCAGCGGTGGATTAAGAAATGAGCACAGCAGAGGCGCCCACGGAGCAGGGAGCTCTGCCGGGGCGCCGTCTGCGGGAGCCAAACTGGGACCCCGGGAGCCGGCACCCGCCGACGATTAGCCGCGCTATGTAGCCCGCACCGCCCACCCGCCGGCCCAGCTTGCAGCGGGCCTGGGGGAAAAAGCCTGAGCTCCTACAAAAAGGCAGCGCGGAGGGAGACGTGCTCGAGCCGAGTCAGGGCCCTGGCTGGGCGGCCTGGCGGCTCCGGGGTCCCGCGGCGCACGTGGGGCCGGGCTCCCTCAATGGGGGGGTCCTGCTCGGTGCGCACCCCTTGGCCCGTTCGCCCTCGCTGTTCTCTGCCTTCTTTTTATTTGAGGTTGTCCACCGCCGCTCCCCTGTTTGTTTTCCTGACTTTTCCCGCCGCGCCTTCTCTTGGATTTCTCCCTCCTCAGTCTGTTGCCCACTGCCTGTCGGGGTGTGTGCCCCCGTCTCTGTCTCTCCGGGCACTTTCTCTCTCGTCCGCTGCTCCATTCCTTTCTCGATCTACTCCTCTCCGGCTGTCTGAGCGGCCCCTGGGCAACCAGTTACGCAAACGGATTTTTCTTTTCCTGTTCTCTTTGCTTCTGAACAAGAGGGGCTGTCAATCCGACCCTCCCGTTGTAGGTTTGTGCATCTGGCGCGTGGGGACCGGGTGGAAGTAGAGCACTGAATTTCGTTTTATAAAGCGCGTAAATTTACGCGTTCACCCTCAGGCCGAGAACGGGAAAAGAAAAGGTCCTGACGCTCCTGGGTGTAGAGGGAGCCTGACTGCGCGGCGCGGGCTCCAGGCCCTGCTTCCCGCTCCCCGCTCCGTGCGCCCGGCTCGGCTCGGTGCGCGCCTCGCGGGGAGCCGCGCTTACCTGGCAGCTCCGTGTCGGACGATTCGCTGGCGGAGTTTTCCAGGGGCTCACGGGGGTCGGCGGCGCGGGCCAGGTGGAAGGCAGGCCCCATGTCGTGCGGCGGCGGCGGCGGCCGGAGTCCCTCCGGCAGCCGCTCCAGGCTCATGCCCCCCTTGAAGGCGTCCATGGAGGCGGGGACCGCGGCGGGCGCTCCAGGGGCCGGGGCTGGGCGCGCCCGGCCGCCCTGGCTGCGACCTGCGGGGACAAGAGCACAGCGCCTAACTGGCTGCCCCCCAGGGCTGCCCGCGCCCGCAGCGACGCCGCGCCCGCCCCATGGACCGCCCGGGGCTGCGGGGCCAGGCGGGCGGCAGCGGCAGCGGTTTCTCGCGACCGGATGCCCAGCTTCGCGCTCCGCGCTCCGCGCTGCGCTCCCGCCGCTCGGGCCTCTGCCGCCCGCCCGGCCCCGTCTCTGGCTCCCGATCCGGGGCCGGTTTCTAAGGCTCCGGACGGCGCCGGCAGAGGCTGTCTTAAAGCGACAGCGCGCACCGCCAGGTTCCAGCAGTCCCTGCGCCAGGGGTGGTGGGTGGGGTGGGCCTGGGTGGGAGGGGGCTGAGGAGGGAGCGAGCCAGAGAGCGAGGGAGCGCGGGCGGAATCCAGCCCCGAGCCGCCCGCCCTCCCTTGCCCGTGCCCTCCCCTCCGCAGCCACCTTCCCGCCGCCTCCCCGCCCCCTCCCTCCACCCCACCCCCCCGGCGCCTCCCCGCGCCGCTCCCTCCTTCCCCGTTGACACACCGACTTCTCCCTCGGCCGCACAAAAGAAACGCATCTGGCCTCCAAGTCCCGCGTGGCTCGTGCCCACCTCAAGCCCCAAATGACTTGTTTTGCTCAGAATCAACTCCTGTCTGGGCCGCTTCGAAGTCCCCAGCCCCCGGCGAGAACAGCCCAGGATGAGAGAATGTTCCCTGAGCAGGATCGCGCGGAGCGGGCGCCTCCGAGCCAGCGCCAGGGCGGGGGCAGAGCCCGGGGCCCGTTCCGGCAGCTCCCAGCGGCGTCCTCGTCGAAGGGCCGCCCGCCCCTCCTTTCTCGGCCTCTTCTCCCGGGACCTGAGCCCGGCTGAGTGACAGCAGCCTGCGTTCTAATGGGCCCCCGGATGCTGCCTCCTAATTAGCTTGGACCCTGTCCTCCAAGGCTGCTTCTCAGGCCTCCCCCTCTGCACCGCAGTTTTCTGGGATTGGGATAGAACTGATGGCTTCTAATCAGATGAAACGTTTCTGTTGGCTCCAGGCCTCTGGCGAGTGCAGCGGGAGACCCCAAGAGCCCCACCAGGCCCCGCAGCCTCTTCTGTAGGGCTCCCTCCGCTTGTTTTGCGCCAGTCCGGCCAAATCAGCCCGGCCAGGGCCTTGGCAGCCAGGGGATTGGCTTCTGCCCCCTTCAGGGCAGGTTTGCAGCCATCTGGGGCCTCTGCGTGGCTTCCCGGAGAGGCAGGCACCTGGCCTCGCCTGCAGGCCAGGTGCCTGCCTTTTGCGAGCCCTGGGTCTCCAGGCCAGGAAGCCTACCCCCTTTGAGGCTCTCTCTGGTACAGCGGTGGCTGAGCTCAGCTCAGTGGGGCCTCCATGGGTGCAGGCACAGACGTTCTCCTCCCCACCCCAAGAAGGATACGCTTCTGGAGTTCTACTTCAGTGAAGTTTGTTGAACAATTTTGCCGAACAATTGTTAGCCGGCCCTGAGACCTCAAAGTCTTGAGCAAACAGAGGGCAGCTAGGGTGGGCGAGTGTGACACTGACCACAGCTGGACCCCAGACTGCCCTCTGCCCCTCACCTGCTGACCAACTTCCCCAGATAGGAGCAGCGCTGGGCAGGACTGCACCCCGGTGGAGAAGCACTGCCCTACTCTCCAGGCCCCGCGCCTCACCCCAGGGCCTGGTGCAACCGCATCTCTTCCTCCAGGAAGGTCTCTGCTTAGGACTGACTGCGCAGGCTGAGAGATCTGCGATGTTCTGCAGGCACTGTCTTCTTGCCCTCACCCTGGCTTCTCACCAGAGGGAGACCCACAGTCTCAGGCTGAGCTGTTTGGCGAATTTTGCAGGGGTCCATGGCCGAAGGGTAGAAACAGGCCTGCTTCTCACTCCCTGAAGCTTAGCCCGAGACCCCAGCTCTGGGCTCTGGGAGAAAGCATGGCTCCTTGGGGGTCTGGCGCACTCTCTCAGTGGTGCCTGTGGCCGCAGGGGCAGGGTCTGGGTCTGAGGCCACAGAGGGACCATGTTCTCAGGGGGTTTGGTTTTGGGGAGATTCTGCAACTCCTGCCCTTTCCTCCCAGAGGGGAATTTCTCTAAGTCGTGTGTGTGTGTATGTGTGTGTGTGTGTGTGTGTGTGTGTGTGTGTAGGCGGAGGATGGCAGAAAGGGGGCCTGGGAAGTATGGTTGTCCGGCATTTGCCCTCAGCCCCATCTTTCACCACATTTCGCGGTTGCGTCTCCTGCAGCAGCAGGTAACTCTTTTCAAGCATAGCGTGTGACCCAGCCTGCCTGGGCACAGGCAGGACTCAGGAGCGCGCGCGAGCGCACACGCACACACACAAACACACACGCATGTAGCACGTACAATGTAGGTGTGGGGCACACACAGATGCACACGTACTCACTAAATCCACCCATGGGGCTTCGTATAGTCACCTAGGCATGCCCACAGCCAGACCTCTGGGTTCCAGAACTCTACTCAACGCAAAACCAGGCTGGTCGGGGACAGGAGCTATGTTCTAAGGCTGCCAGGTGTCAGGCCAAGGTGGGGAGCACAGTGGCCGCTTGGGTGGTGACGGGGAATGAATGGTGCACCTCTGGGTGTCCAGAGGCTGAAAGCTCTAGCCTTCCACTGTCCATGGGGTGTAAGGAGACCATCTTCCATGGATGGATGGAGAGTGTTCTGTGACTCTGAAGCTCTAGTTGGTCCATCTGAGGGGCTCACCTCCTTCACTGTTGATGCATTTAATGCGTTTATCGAGCACCTGCTGTGTGCTCCAGTGGACCCAAGCCTCTGGCAGTGACCTAGGCAGTCACAGTAGTCCCTCTTTTTGGAAATCTTGATGCCTGCTGTGTGGACCACCAAAAGGCCCTCAGTCAATTTCAGGGTGAAGCTCCATATCTCCAGGGGCCCGGAGGCCTAGAGAGGGGCTGAGCCCAGGGGGGTCACTTCCGCTGCACAGCACCCCTCCCCCCAATACTGAATGAGCACAGGGCGAGGAAGGGACTGACCGAGAGGACACCCTGGCCAGCCAGGGTGTTGGCTGGAGAATGGACATGGACGGTTTCTCTTTTTCTCCAGCCTCACCCTCTGCGGGCTGGGCACTATCCCAGGCAGGGAAGGGGCTTTGAGCACACTCACAGACATGCATCATACACACAGGACAGGACGCAGCTCTCTTTCAGGAGTAAAAGCAGGGGTTCAGTGTTCTCCCCGCTTTGCCATCTGACCTTGGGCAAGGCTCGGCCTGCACTGTGCCCCAGTTTCCATGTCTGACTCGGGACTCAGCAATTCCTACCTGCTGCTTCAGCTTCCAGCTTGCTTGGTGATGGGGACGTGAGGAAAGGAGGGAAGAGGGCTTCCTGGAGCTGGAACCATGTGCCCTAGTTCCCATCCCTCCAGGCCACACAGAGCTAGTGATGAATCTGTGACTTTCAGGAAATTTGGAGGCTTGGAGTCCTGGCTGGGTTGAGTGGAGAAGCCTAGGCTGTTGTGGGGTTTGAAGTAGTCCCCATAGGGACCTTTCCTGAGGCCGGGCTTGCTCAAAACAGATTCTGTGCCCAAGAATGGTTCAGTAATCTTATTTGGGAAGAGTGGTTGGAGGGCCGTCACGGAGGGCATCCTTTCGCCCACTTATGGGGGGTACCCTGTCCTAATCTTTGCATTAGAATCAAGGGATTTTAGGAAAAAGGAAGGAATGTGCCGTGGCTTGCCCTCGAGGCCATCCATGACTCTCTGGGACATTCCAACCCTAAGCCTCTTAGGCTGTGGAGAAGTTCAAACTAGAAAACCCAGTTTTGGGAGTGCATCTGGGACCACCTACCTCCTTCTGTCTGCTCTACCCCCTCTCCAATAAAAGCTCTTGTTTCTTTGAATACAAGCAATTACTGGGTGAAGGGGGAAAGGGGTGCTCAAGTGGGGCAGGGAACCATCTCACTGGATTCTCTAGGTTTCCAAGGATCCCAGCTTGAGTCTTCCTGATACCTGGGCTTCCCCAGCCTGTCCTGGTGCAGAAACCTGGGATGTACTCAGGCAGGAAGGCTGAGTGGGGTGCCTATGGAAGCATGGAACTCGGAATTCTGGCACCAGCTGGCAGGGCTGGCCTCATGGCTCACGGAGTCCACTCACTGGTCGTTCTCTGGTTCCTGAGAATGGCTGAGCCGAGGGGCGGAGAAGGCTGGGCGAATGGCCGAGGCTGGTCACGCAACTTGGGAGCAGAGGGTCAGCTAATGCCATTACCCCAGCCTCCTCTTCCCAAGACCTGCTTTCCTGAGAGAAGGGCACTCTGAGTATGGCCGGAGAAGCAACAATGCTTCCCCTGCACCCCAGAGTCCTGGCAGGCTGGTCTCCATGCCCCCGTCTGCCTCTTTTCCTTTTCCGAGCAGAGATAAAGAGTTCCAAGCAGTATGAGGAAAGGGGAGGGAGCCAGCGAGTCCCCCCTGCTGCCTCTGCAGCCTGTAGCTTTAACCATTACCCTAGACCTGTGTCTTTGGCCAAAGGGACAGCAACCTGGGATTGCCTTCCTCTGGGCCCGGTGGCTGTCAGAGGCCCCTGGGTTGCCAACAGAATACCCAAGCCTCAGTTTCTCAGACAAGTGGGCTCAAATATTTTTAGATTCAGGGAATTCCTGAATCGGAAAACCTTGGAACCGGATTCCAGCCTGGGGTTCCCATTTCTGCGATGCCGGCCTGGGGGCCCTCGCTTGACCGCGGCTGAAACCGTTCAGAGCCGGCTGGTCAATTTCAGATTTCCAAGACCCGGTTCTAGAGAAGCGGCTGTGTGCCGGGGAGCCCTGCGTCAACAACCAAACCCCGGAGAAGCCGCGGGAGTGTCTTTATTGGATTTTGCGAAGAGCATTTGGGGTTTCTGTCTGGGTAAGAAAAAGCCCGACTCTTGCGGGCGAGGGCAGGCCGCCGTGGGCTGGGGGCGCCTCGGAGCACTGCGTTGGGACGT